ACCTTCTCCCTGGGAGACAGACGGCGGAGAAGTGGGTGAAGGGAGACGTCGGATGGTGTAAGATATGACAAAATAATAATTTATAAATTATCGAGGGTTCATGGGGAAGGGGGGAGTGGAGAAGGAGTGGGGAAAAAAAGGTGTGGACACAAGGGGCTCAAGTAGAAAGCAAATGTTTTGAGAATGATGAGGGAAACAAATGTACAAATGTGATTGACACAATGGATGTATTTGTGGATCGTGATAAGAGTTGTACAAGCCCCAATAAAATGATTTAATTAAAAAAATAAATAAATAAACCCCATGCTCATGAGTTAAAAAAAAAAAGACTCTTCCTGGGGCAAGAATTAGGCAAGCCGGGCAGGATGCTATCTGTAATAATGTAAGTGCATCACAAAAAGAAGACAGAACAATAGGTGGAGATGTGAAAAACAAAGGTGTGCAAATACTAGTGAGTTTGTTTCCTAAATGAGACGTGCAAATGCTGTTTATACAAAAGGCTTATGAGAATGAAAGGAGAAATATAAGAACTCTACGAAAACATAAGGCCTCAGAAGAGATAGGAAATCTATTGTACAAGCAAGTTTCTAAATCCAAGTCACATGTTTTACTTAAACCAAGCTATAACAATTACAGTCAATGCCAGGATTCACAACATTTAATCTTAAAATATTTAACATACAAAGTGGTTTTTCAATTAAATAGTTTAGCTATATTCTTAAAAGGTTCCTTTAGCTATATTCTTAAAAGGTTAAAAATATTTTGCTTGCTATTCTAAAACCAAACACAATTATAATTTTTACATGAGCCTGCTTAAGAAAAATTATTCCCTGACTCTTAAGTGTCATAGTTAATATGAATACTGATCTGGAAACAAGATTACTGAAGATGTAATTTTGTGTTTGGTCTATTGGTAGATGCTTTACAAGCATTCCACCTCAGTATTTTTCAAATTTTTAGTTGCAAATCATCAGTGGGACTTTTTAAACCAATTTAGTGAGTGTAAATGCAAATGGAAAATAGCATAGCATAGCGTAACAATCTAAGAGATGCTGTTTCATAAAAATCAGCATATTCATCCTAGATACATAAATATCTACATGTGTACCTGGAAAGGACGTGAAGCAGAGCTATGGTGGACCCTTCAAAGACGATGTAAAAGCCCCTGCATACATTTTGCTTGCCTACAAGTCCACAGGCTTGGTTTATTGACAGTCCTTTGTTAGAGATGGGCAGCTAGATGTTGAAGAGTACTCTCTCTGCTCCATAGCTCTTATCTTGAACTTGGCCCCTCAACTCATGTGCAATGGAATGAAACACTGGAACGATACAATCTTCACCCCCATGGCTGGTCGTGGACAGCACCTTTGATTCAGGGAATTTTCAGTGCTGATTGTCAGCAGCAGGTCCCCAGGCTTTTCTTTCTGGGATGCCTTAGCCTGCAACCAACCGAAAGCCATTCAGCATCACAGTAACATGACACACCTCCACTAGCGAGTGAGTGGCATCCGTACACTGGCCTGAAACTGAACCCGGGTCTCCTGAGTGGGACATGAAAACTCCATGACCGAGCCACAGTTACACTATCCAATGGTGAGTCTACATTCACTCTCCACACGAGAATCACTAGGACGGAGAGGAACTGGGAGGAATTACTATTAGTAACAAGAAGGAAAATAAAACAACCATGAGTAGCCATTTATTTGAACGGGTGGCACAGTGGTTATGCATTGGGCTGTGATCCTCAAGGTCAGCAGTTCAAAACAACCAGACCTCTCTGGGAGAAAGATGGGACTCTCTACTCCCAGAGAGAGTTAGAATCTTGGAAAATCCCCGAGGTCTACTCTGTCCTATAGGGTCGCTATGAGCTGGCAGTGAGTTTGTTTTACTTAATGCAGCAAACGTTTGTACAGGCATTGCCCTAACAACGGAACTCCATTCCACTTACTAAAAAAAAAAGGCACAATCTAAATTGATAAGACAAGAAGAAGTTGGCCCAGGCCTAGATAAATTCGGAATGGCAACCACTACAATGAGAATGGAGCTACCCACAGGTAAAAGAATTTACAAGGTTGGAGAAAGGATAACATTTGATGTCTTATTATTGCCTTTTGTAACGTTGAGAACAATACTAATGTCTTTCCCATTCAATACTCAATCGTTTTGTTTTCCTTCCTCAATCTAAGTTGCTAGCCTATTCAAGGCATATGGGCACCACAATACAGACTCCAAGAACACAGGAAGGACGGGGGTGGAAAAAGGCAAACATTGCGTATTCATTCCTACAATATATTCCACTAAAAGGCCATGTGCAAGTATCCATTCAAGAGTTCAATGTTTTGCTTGCCAGACTGAGTTTCTGTGTTTGGTTTTATTGTCGTTAGATTTTAGGAGGGCATGGAGGGCGATAGTTTGCCACATCTTTTTTTTTCTTCTACTAGGCCAGGCATGATGCCGGACATTCACAGGGAAGACACGAAACCTGAAATTATAAAAACCTTAAGACGATTCCACCTACAACCTATCCATTTCAAGCCATTTCTACTGAGTTAGTCAATTACATGTGTACAAAAATGTTCTTTGCTGACCTGAATGCCTAGCAGTCAATTCTGTCCAAGCAAACCAACAATGCCTACTACTCCCCAGCCATCCACACAAGCCCCAGTGCACACCTGTTATCTCCCACAGTTAATCTCCAGAAGCTCCCTCGCATCCTCCATGTGGCCTACCTACATTCTGTTTACTCTTCAGCATCTAATCAGGTGCCACCTTCCTCAAGGGAGGTGCCTTCTTTGTGCATGCAGGGTCATGAATAAAATTTCTCATATCGCACAGTAAGGTGACTCATCAGTCTCTCTCTTGGACTTTCATCGATTTCATACGAACGCCCTCAACCCCTATGCCTCTAAATCACTGAAGCATTTCTTTTCCTTTTTATACTGGAAGATCTTCCGCATCTTAATATTAAATAATATTTTCTAAGCAGGAGTTGTGATGACATAGCGGGTAATTAGTTGAGCTGTTATCCCCCATGTCGGCAGTTCAAATCCACCGACCACTCCAAAAGTGAAAAATGAGGCTCATTCCACACCCATAAAATAAAATAAAAAGAATTATAATTACAGAAACCGTAGGGATCTCAACAAGCTGATAATGCTGCCTCTAAAGATGCCCAGGGCTATATATAAACTTTGGATATCCAAATGGATTTTGAGCTCACACTTAATTGTACCCCCAGTCTAAGAACAATTAGGCTTTGGGATGTGGCCCTGTACAATAGTTAGCTTCATGAAGGGATCACTGAAGATATGGGTGCTGTAGCTAAGGGTGGTGACTATAGCAGATTGTATCTGACTATCAGAAAAAAATGATGTCTGGGATCTTAAAGGCTTTTCTTAAAACAAACAGCCTAAATTGTTTCCTCCCCGCTCCCACTACCATGACTCGAATTCGATCTTGCAAGTCTGGCTAGACCAGAGGAGGTACACTGGTACAGATAGGAACTGAAAATACAGGGAATCCAGGACGGATGAGCCCTATAGGACCAGTGGTGTGAGTGGCAAAACAGGGAGGGTAAAGGGAGAATGGGTAGGAAAGAGGGAACCGATTACATGGAACTGTGTGTGACCTCCTCCCTGGGGGACAGACAACCGAAAAGTGGATGAAGGGAGACGTCGGACAGGGCAAGATATGACAAAATACCCATTTATAAACTATCGAGGGCTCATGTGGGAGGGGGGAGCGGGGAGCGGGGAGGGAGGGGAGAAATGAGGACCTAATGTCGGGGGTTTAAATGGAGAGAAAATGTTTTGAGAAACGATGTACAAATGCACTTTACACAATTGATGTGTGTATGGATTGGGATAACAGTTGTATGAGCCCCTAATAAAATGTTAAAAAACAAAAAACAAACAGCCATCTAGTTAGATGTCAGTTAAGTCCACACAGAAAGAGCACACCAGCCCATGTGATACAAAGACTGTAAATAACAAAACCAGAGGAGGGAATTGTATTAGAACTTAAATTCTGAGCATTTGGTTTGGATGGCAGTGAAAGACCAGAATTCTTTTGTGGAAACCACACTCGGATTAAGGCCCCATAAATTCCCTCGGACCACTGGAGCAGATGTGAATAGTACTGTCTTCAGACAGAGTGCACTGGGAAGTGGAATACTGCAGATATCTAGTTGGGTTAAATTCTGTCATATCATCATTTGTTTTCCTTTTTGACCAAGTTTTAATTTCTTCTAGTCTCTGTTATCTTCTGCTTTCTTTTGGACTGAGGCTTTTCTTGAGTTTTATTTTGTTGTCCTTGTTGGGTTTTTTGCATGATTTTCTTCATAAGAAATCCAGGATAGGTCATCCAGAGACCATAACTAGAGTAATAGTTCCTTAGGGTGATGATGGCTGGGGGTGGTGGTGGGGGGGTGTCAAGGGGGAACTAATAATAATGGGTACAATAGTGAAGAATATGTTCTAAAATTGATGGTGGTGATGATTACATAACTCTATTTAAGCTACTCAATTGTTAAAAAAATATTTTCTGAAAGAAAATTCTAAGGATCAATTCCACCCTTACCCCATAAGTTTATTTTTAACTGAAATTGACTGCATAGCAAGGAAAATCAGATCTATAACCAAACTTAATGAAAGCATAAAGGTAACACTTCCTCTTCTTCGCCATCTACACCTGATCACAATATAGTTGGAAATTGCAGCTTTTTCCTAAGGATTCCTAGATGCTATGCAGCTATACTACTGAAATATATGCATGCATGCATAAATAAAGCACATCATCTACCATGTCACTATGGAAACTTATTGGGCATGTGTTTTAGGTTTTCATTTCCTCTAATACTTCATATGTATTAATTCAAAATACTATCGGCAACTTGATTACAAACGTTAATAAAAATCAGCGCATGGCGAGACTATACGAGACTTATCTACATCAAACAAAACAAAACCAACGGCAAAAGACAAAGACAACAGTTCTCGTACCTTTAAGACCCGCTTGATAGAACCCAATACAAAGTTCCTTTCTGGATGTTTGCGGCTCTGAGGAATCCAGTCGCGGTTGAACACTGTTTCCCCTTCTTCTAACGCACATTTCTGACCTTGGAAATGGGGCTTTTCATACAAAATCCAACTGGACAGACATAAAAGCAGCAATCTTCTTAGTTTTTCTCAGAAATGAGTCATTTGTCATACAATAACGGACACTTAGTAATTCACAGACCATCTTATTGACCTAAATGCGGAGCACTGGGCTGTTCCTCATTGTTAACATATACACTATTTTTTAAAACAAGGCTACATGCTAATTTAGAAGTGTGTAGACTTGGAAATAAAAATAGTTTCTAAAAATAGCACAGACAGGATACATATATGAAATGTATATGCACTTTATATATGTCCTAAACATGATCATTATATATTAAAAACCCCAGATTAACAACTACAGATTATACTTCAACCCTGGTTTTCCTATTTCTGGACAAATGATCGCACAAGATCGCACAACGGCTGTGCCAGTCTGCTTACAGCATGAATACTTACCAGCAGCTAACATAAAACTGAACAAAGAAATTCTGGCTCCAGCAAACGCACAAGGCCTGGTCCATCAGAATACATGAAGCTTCCCTCATTTTCAGACCACACAAAGCATCCTTCAGTCCTTGAGCATGTCAGTCATACAAATGGCTATAACTCTGCGGCCTTCACATTCCTCAGCATCCCACCAATTCGGAACTTGATTTCAATGCTACGCCTGTCTCACTCGACTGGAGCCTTCAACTCCACTTTACACTGGGTTAACAAATGAGACCAGGGAAGAACACTTCTGCTGTCACATCCATCCTACTAATAATGCAGTTCCACAATGGTATTGACTGTGTATAATATGTCTTGCTACTTACTGCTGGCTCTAAGCACTACAAACAACATATTTTTGGCCATGAAAATAAAGAAAACAATTCAGTTCAGTTACAAAATTCTGAGGATGCTTCAAAATACTCTGTCAAAAACTAAAGGAAGGAAAATGTGCCTTTAATAAAGACACAAAACAAAAGAGCAAAAAACTTAAAACATACTTAATATCAGAAAATAAGCTAAAAACAATGTAACAGATTTCTTACCAGCCCCTCACAACTTTTATCAGTACGCCATTTGGAAAGGACCATGATGTAGCATCGGGAACATTACCGTAGATTTCTTGTTTACATTTACATCCACAGAGATCATAGATGACCATCTGCAATACATAGTGAGAAGGCACAGAAGAGCACATTTTAAGAATGCATTTATAATTTCAAAATGTTCTGGAACAGAGAAAATAACTGAAATACACAAAAGCATACATTTAACTTCAGATGCTAAATCCTGAGCAAAGTAATCATTTTCTCAGTCAGTTAAGATTATTTATCTCACAACTGCTTTGCACATTTTATCTTTGCCTACCTGAGAAACTGAAGCTTACCTTCCCAGGTCTTGGGATACACCTCAGGGTATGCTTGTCAACATTCTGAAATGATACAAGTGGAAGAAGTAAACCATAGGATTCACCAGTGGAAAAATGCATGTAGTTCACTTTGTTAGCAACCTGAAACCCATTTCACTGCATGATTACTTTGTGCTATTATGTACAGAATGCTTCTCTAGGCACTGCCTGTGACAGGAAGGGAAATCGTGTTTTCCTCCTCATCTCAGGGGAAACACGAGACACACTCACATGACTCTTCTAAGTAGAGAAGGGAGGGACACACACACACACACACACACACACACACCATCCAAGAAAATAGCAGGTTATAAAGAGTCAAAGGGAAGGGTGCCCATGTCAAGACAAAATAACACAGGGAACTCCAGAAGAGATTTCCCCAAGGGAAATAGGAACTCAGTAATTTTAAAATCTGTGGCAGAGTGGTGGGGAGTGAAGAGAAAACCAGGAAGAGAACCATATTCAGGGAAAGGATGTGGGTAGGAAACACAGTGTTTAACCAAAAGGCATGGAGACCAAGTTGGATCAATAGATCTCGAGAGAGTCGTACCTGCTGGATTTGGTAAGTAAAGGGGAAACACTGAAGAGCCTTGTGAGGCAGTGTTACTGCACCTGACTGCTAGTCGAACAGCTCACAGTTCAAGCCCAGCAGCCAGCACACAGAAGATCAGTGGGGCTGTCTGCTGCCGCCCCGATTACAGCCTTGGACGCCAGATGGGGGGCAGTTCTGCTCTGTCCTACTGGGGTCATTGTGAGGTGGAAAAGACTCAATAGAAGTAAAGGTTTTTTAGTTGTTTGCTTGTATGTTTGTCTGTTTAGGAGAAATTTTAATTTATTTTCACATCTCATTATTTCTATTAGAATGACTTTGCAAATGTTTGGTTATGAAGTGATTATTTGCTATCCAGGCTTTTCAAAATAAAGGTAGAACTCTAGAGAATCCCGGGAAGAAATTTCATGATCTGGGGAATGCTCGAAAGGGAAAACTCATACGCATTTTCGACAGTCGACATTGAAGTATTTGTAAATCAAGGCAACACTGCAACGGAGTTGCCTCTGGCATGGGCCCATTCTAGTGCCATTCATCACGTCTCCGCCTCTTTTTCTGCGCATTCGGCTTTCACTGCCCTCCTACCTACCAAGAAACAACAGGGTCTCCTCAAGGGGGACACTGGGGCCAAGCAAATACAGAATTTTACCCAACAAAAACCTTCTCATGTGCGAACCAGAAAAGCAACATTTCTCCATATAGAGGGCTTTGAGGCATGCTGACATCACTTAAATCTCTGAAAACAAAATACAGCAGAGGACTGATGCCTCTGAAACCCTCATCTAGTTTTTTTTCTTTCTGTTCTAGTCCTGCTAAAATACACGAGTTTTGAGACACTTCATCTAAAGAAGGCTGACTTTTCTTGAGAAACAACATTTACACAACCCTTAAACACTGGTTTTCGTAATCTTTTAGATCATTTCATGTTCCAAAGTTCTACCTCACATGTGAATCAAAATTCCTTACCTCTGTGAATAATCGGGATGGGTTGTCTTGAATAGAAGTCTTTGATATGGGTTCCTGAAAAATCCCACTAAATCTGGCTCCTTTTTCCGAGGAGTGGGTTTTGGAAGTCTGCAAATACTGATGATAGGCGCTCTTGAGAGAAGAATGCAGTTTAGAAGTAAGGTCTGATTTTTGTAGAAAGGAAGCTTTTTCTGGCCAAGGACCAATTTGCATATTGGAGGTAGTAGGTTCATTTGACGCTGTGTATGAGTTAATGGTAATTTCAGTCCTTTCCTGGTCATCTTCGGGGGAAAAGGAAGTCGGGTAATCTGGCAACTGGAAGGGAGCGAGTTCTCTCCTTTGAGGTCTCAGATGTCCTTTATGCACAAGTTCTTCCCCCGCTTCCTCCTCTTCCCCATCCCTCTCTGCCCCCTGTCCTTCTTCATCAAAGTCCATCTTTAAACGCTCGGACACTGACTGGAGAAGGGATAGAACAGAAGAGGGCTGGTTTGTGCTCTCCCTCGATTTTGTGGCACCATGGTGACCAGGTGAGACCTCACTGGACAGAATGTCCTCCTGAGAGCTGTCATCCTCATAGATGGGAGACAGAGCTAAGGGATAAATCTTGTACCTCTTGGCCTCCACCGACAGGAACATTTCTGAATTGTCACTCTCGAATGTCTCACCCAACTTAGTATCCTTTTCAAAATGATGAACGAGGTCAGTTCTACTCTCAGACCTTTCACATGTCAAGACAGGCATACTGTCAGCAGACACGTCGGGAAACACGAGTGAGGGCGTTCTCCTGACATCTGCAGACGCGTAGTATGTGTCCTCCTCTTGGAGGGGCTCTTCATACAATATAGTAAAAGATGGATTCTCTGGTGTGTCCTGGGAAACAAAGGCCAGGTTAGAATGCTCCTTCTCACTGCGACCGCCTCGATCGGTCTTGCTGCATAATAAAAAGTTACATTCATTTGTCTAGACTTACCATGGTCTCCTCTTGTTGAAAATCAGGCACTCCCAAGGCTGGGTAGCCTTCATAATCCTTACTTAAGGTAGGTGATTCATAGCCCCCAAAATGCGACGTAAACCGTTTGTCACCAGCTATCAAGCTCGCCTTTACTGCAGTGGGCTCTTCCTCCATTTCTCCAACCATCGCTTGCAGCACCTTTTCAGCTTCAAAATCAGGAGGCAGCATGGCCTCTGAGGGTGTCAGTTTCAATTCTAGACCTGCTCCAAATGGTTGATCAATGTTTGACATGGAAGATAATGCTCCATGCTTCCCACTATTCCCAGCAGAATCTTTTGGGGGTGTTCTTTCCATTTCTCTCACAGGGAGCTCGGGCCCAATCGTCTCTTCGCCATCCCTCTTACATGCTGACTTCACATCTGAAAAGGCAGAGGCAGGTTCGGCCTCTCTGTGCGCGTCCTTCACATCTCCCATAAAAGGTAACACTTGGAGGTTCCCAGCAGCCCCCACTGCAGCCTCCTTTGGGTAGGGACTTCCCATTTCCAACCCGACCTCAGTAGCCACCTCCCATTTGCCACTATCTTCTTCCACATCCTGTGGGCCAATGTCTTCTCTTTCTGATGTAACAGGCACCCCCTCCGTCACTGCAGGGTCTCCTTTCACATCCCTTGGGCGGATCTTTCCCACTTCGAATGGCACAGGTGTAGGTGTAACCGCTGTGGTTTTCAGCATCCTCTCGGCATCCTGCTGGCAGAGCCTTCCCACTTCGGACATGTTGTCAACGTCCGCTTCGGCAACCTGCTGGCAGAGAGCGCCCGTTTCTAAAGGCACAGGCAGCACTGCTGTGTTTTCAGAACTCCCCTCTGTCTCCTTTTGGTAGGTAGTTCCCACTTCTTGCCTAACGGGTGCTATTTCGTTCTTACCGATATCCCCCTCGGCATGTTTCTGGTAAATCATTTCCATTTCTAAAGAAACAGGCATCACCTCCGTCTTGGCAATATCCCCTTCGGCATCCTTTTGGCAAATATCTTCCATTTCTAGCGTAACAGGTCTCACCTCAGGCTTCCCTGACATCACCTCACACAGAGCGGGCATCCCCTGAATATTGCCGGCAGCCCCTGAAGGATCTGCTTTGCAAGCATGTTCCAACTCAAGGATGACAGGTACCCCTTCGTTTTTCTCAACACGGCTCTCAGCGTCCACTTGGCAGATTTCCCCCATGTGAAAAATGTCAGCTCTTAGCTCCGTTTTTGTGCTGGCAAGCTCAGCATCATTTTTCGGCGGCTTTCCCATTCCTAACATAGCAGGGGCTGCCTCCAGGTTCAGAATATGCAAACCGGCATCCTTTCTGTTTGCCTTCCCCATCTCTAACATGGGAGGTACCAGTTCAATTGTCCCCATGCTCACTTCCGGGTCCTTTTTGTGCACTTTCCCTACTTCTGGCAGTGCTGCGTGTGTGCTCTTACTAGTGTGTCCTGGCACATGTTTACCAGCCACACATACTCGGCTGTCAGAGAAGCTGCTCTTGGACGTGCCAGGGGCAGCGTGGGGCTCATCGTTCACAACTGGAGGCCACTGGAAGTTTAACACAAGCGTTCTTGGGTCTGTCCTTGTTTTGTGATTATCCACACTCTCTAGTACACTTTTCTCTTTGAGAAGCAAGTGGGTTTTCACTGCATCGTCTAACTCTTCACGGGGCACGTCCTCCGTGAGTAAACCCGCCCCCGACCCGTGCACGTTGGTACTATCAGGATACCCTATTTCCTCTCCAGCACATGGGGTTTTTTGGTAAGGAACAAGTTCTCTCCCTTTAATAGATTCTGCGTCACTAACAAAGTTACTTACAGACAAGAATCTACTCAATACTTTATTTTCTTTACTTTCAGGTGTGCTTTGGTTTTCTGCCTGCTCTGCTACTAGGAACTCCCTAGCTCTGTTATCGGGCTGAATGCTATCACTATTCAGAATTTTTGAAGTACTAGCCTGAAGTTCAGAATCCCAGGTATCCTCAATATCATCAAAAGTGTCATTTGTCAAATTTTCTTGGGCTGAATAAAGAATTTCACCAACTAATTCCCTCGCTTGATCTTCTAACAAACAAGGCACCTCCATGCCACCAGAATGAAAAAGAACACTCTTCTCACCACCTGTAGGGGCGACACTGGCCTTCTCTTCCCCTTTGCCTTCTGACATGTTGTCCAGGCCCTGCTTTCCCAAACGCTCTTTCTGTTGAATCCCCGCTGGAGTCCCTTCTTCCGATGGGTTTCCCTCAAGGTTGCCTTTGAGGGGATCTGGATTCACTATCCCCTCCGCGGCTCTATGTCCCTGGTGAATGCCAGCAGTGGGTGTGGACTTCAGTCCGTCTCGAACAGAGCTGAAAATCTCATCAATGAACTTATCAGCCTTTGTAAGTACAGCACCTCTGGGATCCAAACGTCGGTCATGTGCCCTTCCCCTTGCTTCTGCGTGCCCAGCAGCGGCCTCAGAACACTGCTGGTGGGGGCTGTTAACTGACGCTGGAGCCCCAGCAACTGCTCTAGCAGCTCCTGCTTCCACGGGGCTGTCACACAGGACAGCAGCAGCTGGGGTGTCGAGAGACAGCTTCTCGGGATGAATCCCCAAATGTTCCTGAACTGGGCTTCCTTCTGCCCCGGTTGGTAAAGATGTTTCACATTCCAAATAAGAGCTATCAGGGGATAGCAGGTTTGGTAAGGGGGCATCTTCAGGTAAGAGGTCTATGGTAACTTTGTGAGAGTCCTTAGTTTTTAGCTCACATGCACTTGTAACCAGGCGAGTCTCTTCAGGGTTACCAGAGGAAGAAGATACGCTATCAACACACCTGCAGAGAAAGCCCGAATTCGCTTTCTCCCTGCAAGGTGAGGCTTTCTGTTTCGATCTCAGCCCAGAAGGCACATTAGGAAAGCTCAAATCCTCAGAGGCAATGGCATTTCCCCCCAAACTGACATCAGAACCGAGGCAAGCAGCATTTGTATTTGTCCTCGTGGTCTCTTGGAAATTGGGGGAAACACTGATTAAGTTGAGTTCGGCCATTTCTGAGAGTCCAGAAGTCTTTTTGGTCCCATGAATATCGGAAACGTCACACACAATGCGAGGGTTAGTTTCATAAGTTGGGGCCATTTGCCTGGTCACCTTTTCATCATGATCAGGAAGAAAGGGAGTACCTGGAGGAACCCTTAAAGCATCTACCTTTGTCTCCTGTCGACCCTGACAGCTGGGCCACGGTGGTCCAACTTCCCGATTCTCTTGAGGGCCCAAATCTCTACATTTCTCCTTCATCTCATGATCCAAGGATTGAAAACATTTGTCTGAAGAAGCTAATTCTGACAAAATGTTCTTTGCTGGCACACCTGCACTTTCAGACATAGAAGCAGCAGCTTCATCCTGCGAAAGGCTTCTGGGCTTTGTTTGAGACACACAATTCTCTGGTGGGCCTTTAGTTTTCCTTTCTCCAGAACATGACTCAACAGAAACACCCTTCTGAACATCCACCTCAGCTTCTGCTAACGTTTTGGCAAGCTTTGCTTTATTAGGTCTTTGAGATGAAACTGAAGTGGGGTCCTTCGAGAGGCTTCCAGTCTCACAGCTCAATGGGTCCACTCCAGTTAAGTGGACACCACTGCTTTCAGGCCCTAGTGGAACCTGGCGACCTTCATCAGAGTCAAAAATGACAGGTGCATGCTGATGGTGGCGAGAAGGGTTTCTCCCGTGTGCGAGTTCAACATGGTCTGCCATATGTTCTCCGTGACGCTGACAAGAGACATCAGAAGTGTTGGTCTCCTCCGTTTCAATGGGCACCGAAGAACCCTCGTCCTTTAAAGCAGTCGTCTCTGACTTGCTCAGCACGCCAACTCCAGAAACAAAGGTAGGAAGTGAAGTATTAAAATTTACTTTTTTACAGTCCCAGGTAAGAGATAGTTCAGCATCTGGTGACACTTTGGCTTGTTGAGGACTCTCAGAGTCAAGAGAAGATTCTGAAGTGTAATTTCGATTAACTTCAAAAGTCAAATCAGGTGCTATCTTATTTTCTAAGCCCGCTACAACTGCTGCATCACGGACACATTTTAAAGAGGGAGAGTCCTTCTGATTTATTCTCTCAGTCTGAAGAGTTGGGTCATGTGCCCTAAAATCAAGCTTTTTTGTTTCTCTTGCAAACAGCTGGTCAGTGTCTTCGGGTAATGACTCATTTGTACTTTGGGGCGCTTTTACGTTACCTGAAACAGTTGGGGGTTCTTGCCTGACTTCGGTAACAGCTAAATCTATTTGAGAGTCTTGGGTAGTAGACTGGTTTCCTTCATTTACACATTCTGTGTCTGTCACAACATGTCCCTGGAGAACAACGGTGCTGATGTGACTGGCAGCCAGCTTTGACGAGCTATCCACGGGTTGTGTGTTAGAACACTTACTCTCTGGCAACTGCTGCTCTGCGTGCCTAATTGATTTATTTGGAATTGGCAAGTTTGTACTTTCCTGGTTGGTAGTGTCACTCCCCTCAGCTTTACCATAAGAGAAGGCAGAAGTCGCAGGGCTCTGAGGTGCCACGTGTTCGCCTTTGTGTACCCATGTCCCATCACTCATCATAGTGTTTTCTGCTGAAGCTCGCTTCTGAAAATCTGGACGGCAAGGAACGTTGCTGCTGTTACTTCCTGCAAGCAAAGTGGAACCTACCAAATTTCTGTCAGCCTGAGAGACTGGGACACAGCTTATCCACTGCTCTGAGTCATATGCTCCAACAGTGGAGCTGGATTTAGTCAGAGGAGGTGACCTACTTCTCTCGGGGCTCCCAGAACCACTTTCATTGAAAACGTCCTGGGAAGCAGCAGGATTTTGCAGTTCTGGGTAGTTTGACAGATGACTTTCTGTGCTGAGATTTATTTTGTGACAGTCGGAGTCTTCTAACAGGCTTCCGTGCCAATGTCCTTTCATAGACGAGTCCATATGAGTTGATGACAGTGATGGAGCTATCCCAAGCCCAATCGCACTTCCGGGGCCAGGGTGTCTGCTTGGACTGGGGTCAGGACTTTCATTTTCTCCACCCAGGGGATTCACAGGATCCAGAGAAGTCTGTTTTTTAAAATATTTCCTAATTTGCCTGGGGCCCTGATACGTTGCATATGTTACTGAAGGCCTCTCCGGTTTATCATCACTTTGTCTGTAAAAAGGAATCAGCATGAGATAGCATTAGTGACACTTAACAATGATACCCCAAACTGTGATAGAGTAGTCTATCTTTCAAATACTACTTCACTTAACATTCACTAATTCCCCTAAGGAATCTTAGAATGTGCAGGTCATCCAATCTTTATTTTTGAAAGAAAAAAAAAATCTGGCAGGCAGCAGCACATCACTGTCAAGAACACAGAGAGGACGCCTGAGCTCTGCAGCACTCTTACCAGACTGCGTTTCATGAAGAGAATGGGGGCCAAGGGGTCCAAGGTGTGGGTTCTACTTCTATCTCAACGCAGCATCTATCTGACTCAGAGAAACCACAAAGCCTTTTGCCCTCCTACTGGTACCCCAAGATTATGGCTACCCACTACAGTGATTCCTCCGCCATAGTAGAGCATCAAAGGGAGCTTTGACTCTCAGGTGTGACTGTGAACAGCCACGTTTTGTCAATAAATGGGGACGTGTTAAAGGAAAACAGCCGGCCAAATGACTAGCCCAGTGTAAGGGCTCTGTAAATATTTGCTAATAAAATAAATGGCAGAACTGCCTTAAAATTTCTCTCTTTTGCTAATTTCTTCAAATAATTTGTGTAATGCGTAGTCAACTGTTTGGGAAATTCAGAAATCAGAACGGATTTCTACATAGAGTGGAGCATCAACACCAGCAAAAAGAAGCCGGCTTTCTTAGAAGAAAGAGGAGTTGCCACACTACACCACGGTCCTGTTAACACGTGGCAGTCATTTTCCTTCCATTCCAGCTTTGGAAACCCTTCTGTCCTCTAAGATGCAACTCACAAATTATGTTGCAAACCCATCCCAGGACCCTTGTATTACCAAGAGAGGCACCTGAGGCTCTGATTTGGGGAGGCAGAAAGACAACTGCGCATTTGCCACATTAAGCTACAGCAAAGATCTATGCACTCATTTCATCTCACAACAGTTTGGCAGCTATTTGAGGGAAGGCATTACATTATGCTTTAATCATCTTTGTATCTATAAGTGCTCAACACAAGATATGGCAAATTTTATATTTTTTATAACTTTCATGAATTAATGAACGACTGACTAAAGCAATGCTACTGAATGGTAAATATTTCCAACTAGCATTTTAGCTATAACTATGGCACAACAGTGTTTTACATTTGGAATTTTCTTATATTTTAGTGTCCTGATTATAAACATGTATGGTGAAAGAATTAGATGTGTGTTCTTAAGTTGTTTTTTTTAATTAAACATGCCTTAAACCAAAACACTACTATATAATCACATGGACAAAGAAATCCTGTTGTTAATATTCCAATATCTAAAAACTACCTATTCTTCCCAAACAGATGACAGTAACATCAAGAAAGTTGTTTGCCTACATAATAAAACAGAAAGAATTCCTTTGACATAAAAATCTGCATCAAATGTGGCACTTATGTACTTCTTGAACATTAGCTGAAATAATTCATTTCAACATACATAAATAACTACTGGTGTTTGAACTCTTAGCACACCACGATTTTAGAAAACCCTACTAGTTACTGTGCATTATAAAGCGGGTACGAGAGATGTAGAGAAAAGCTGTGCTTTCCAAATGTAGTTTTAGCTGCTACAACGTTTCAGATTAGATCTAAGATTGTCATAACGTCAGAGGTTAGGAAAGGCATAACCTATAGACATAAGTAAGCGAAGAAAAGGGCACATGGCTAAATTAATGTTGCTGGTGAAATCTATTGAAATACAGAAGGTCGTGAGAAAATACAAGATCCCTTTTCAGCAATAAATACAGGTCCAAAAGTCTGAGTAAATGATAACAGGGTTTATAGGATTTTTTTTTTCTTATAGTGCTTTTAATCTTATATCTACAACACCAGGAAACAGGCTGTAATGTTTTTATCCATTCCCTCCCTACTCTAACAGATCAGCAAAACACTTTTGACAATACAAGTAGTATTCATAATGTCATCAGATATAGGAAATGAGAAATAAGATAAGGATCAGAATTTTACAACTTGATGGCAATGGAACTGGTTTTGGGTTAATTATAAATGTAGGTTTCTTACCACAAATTCCCTCTTCACTGGGCTTCATACATTATCTTTTATTATTTTCAGAATGCAATTTTCATTGAAAATAGTTTTAATAAAATGAAAGCCACAGAGAAAAGTCCCCTAGAATTCAACTCATAAGAATGTTGCCTTTTGATAGCTCTGGAATCCTTTTTTTTTTTTTGTGGAGGGAGGGGTTGATCACTGCTTTCCTATTTTTTTTAAGGCTCTCCAGGTACTTTCAACTAAACTAATGAAATAGTTTTATATGAAATGTAAAAGACCCATCATGGAGGTACAACTTTTAAGCAAGTGGCTCCTAAGGAAAGGCTGGTAACAAACACCAGGCAATATGCTTCCCTAAAGAAAACCCTATTGGGCAGTTCTATTTTGTCCCTTGGGTCACTCGGAGTAAGGGACTGACTTGATGGAACGCAACGACAATAAGAAATTGCAGGAGAGTGACTTTTTCCCAACATCCTGAATCCTATGACTACCTCCTCGGTAAATCTGAACTAGTTTACATGTTAAACTAGACCATCGCCCACGACTTCGGGGTGGAAATGTTTTATGCCTGTAAAGTATGCATCCTTTACACTACATTATCATGTTGAAAATATGCAACATCAAAAGATGGAACCTGAGTCTTAAGTATAATAATTAGTTCCTTCAGGTACTGAAGAGCTACACTCCCACTTTTTAAAAAGTTAGTTATTCTAGTATAGCTATTTTCTACATCTGTTTTTCAGATTGCTGAGACACCATAATTGGATAGCACTAATAATATAAAATTGATTTCTAATGTTATGCTCTTCTCTACTAGAAAATACAGAGAAGCTGAACAATACAAGGAGTCTTCAAAAAATAAACAGAAAATCCTTATAATGAAAACTGCAAGAATTTCAAATGTTTTTGTACCAAAAGGACTCATACTAACATGCCCAAACAGGATCTAGTCTGAGGCACTCAGAAGGATAGATATCAGCTTCAAAACAGCCCCATCAGAGCAACATGAATTAACACTAAAATTGAATCTTGAACACAAATTAAATTTATGGTGAAGCTAGGTAGAAGAATGGTGAAATCATTGATACTTTACAAAAAGTTTATGGGGACAGTACCCCAAAGAAATGAGCAGCTTACGAACGGGTAACTTGTTTGAAGAAGGGACATGATGATGTTGGAGATGAAGCCTCCAGTGGCCGACTATCCCCATCAATTAGCCTTGTTGATGCTCTCATTGAAAAGATTAAAAGCAGGACAAGAAATAGCCATACCACAGATATCTCCACAAACTGACTGAAAAAGCTGAGAAAACTTTCAACTGACAGGTGCCCAAACAGTTTCACCCAAATCAGCAACAAGCAGCTGATCTCTCCGTGGAAATAATCAAATAGGATCACATTCCTCAAGTACTTCTCGGAAGAACTCGGCCGAGAGTGAGACATGGTTTTACAAAGCACAAAGAAATGGCTTCCAGGAGGTGGACGTGATCCAAAGCAAAAGCGGAACTATCAGGAAAAAAGGTCCTGGCAGCAGTTTTCTGGGATGCACAAGAAAGCTGCTTGTTGATTTTCCAGAAGGCCCAAGAATGATAACATCTACTTATTATGCGAGTGTTTAAAAAAAAGTTAGCCACAGCTTTAACAGAAAAATGCCCAGGAAAGTTTCAACAGAGTCCTTCCCCAGGCAGTGCCCCGGCACACCCCTCTCCTCTATCATGGGTGCTTCTGTGTGAGTTCCAGTGGGAAACCACTGTAGGCATCCAACTGACAATAATCATTTGTCGCCTTCTGACTTGGTTTAGCTGGCTGGTCTTCAAAAAACTTTCAAGGGTACCCATTTTAGTTAAAACATTAAAAAGACAACATTAACATAGTTCAATTCCCAGGACACTCCTTTCTTTAGGGATGAACTAAATGGCTGGTGGTCTCATTTCTTTCAAAAGTGCCTTCTCAATGGAGCTTATAGTGAGAAATAAAATTCATATTTTAACATTTTTTACCTTTTAATTCCATTTTTCCATAAACTTTTAAAAAGTCCTCACCTGTAACTTTAAAAGTGAAGAAATGTTTAAAGGTACATTTTTAAGAAGTCATGTATTTGGTATGTACTGTATATCCATCACAATGCATTATACACCATGGCTGTATGCATTTTAGCCAAAGACATAACTACCCAAAAGAAAAAGAAAGAACAGAAAAGTAAATGCAAAAGGGGCACGGGAAAAAACTACTGTATACAAACACTCCAGGGGTGAGGCACAGGTAGTACGACAAGGGCCAGACCAAATCCAGGGATACATATGGTACCCAACTAAAAAGGTGGGGGGGAGGGAAGAAAGGGGGAACAAAAAAAGATGTGTGGCAGGTGAATAGGGCACTGACCCACCCAAGGGGAGGGTATTGTTTGTGCCTCCACAGGAAAAGAGGGACCAGACTTAAAGCCAGTGGGATGAATGCAGCATGCCGGCAAGGAGTGGGGAGCCAGTGGAGGGGCCTTAGGGCTCAGCCCCCATACCAGCTACATGGACAACTTCCCCTCCTCCCAGAAGAATTTAGAGGACAGCACTGAAGCTGCAGCTAGGGGAGAGGGACATGTCTGATGAGAGCAAATGGGAGCACTTAGGAAGAGGAACAGAGAGTGGAGCACATCCTGGCCCACCAGGCCTGGAGGACGATATCCCTGAACAGCCACTGCACAGAGTGGACTATATGGCTGATTCCCCTAGGAGACACGCCGTCCCTTGCTGGCCCAGGGCCCTAAGGGGAACAACACTGGAGACTCAGTGTCCAGACTGGCCCGGACTGACCCCGTGACACTGAAGCAAACCACTAAAGGCGTGCGGCAGAGCAACCGTGAGAGCAGAGCAGGGAGCACCTGAGGGAGTACAAAAGACAGACTCTGGGGCCAGAGCGTGGCACCCCATCGGACCTGACTGAAGGGCACGC